CATCGTTTGAGCCTATTCCCGCGTCCTAATTCGACTTCCTGCTGCTTCAAATGAAGGTCTTTACCAGTTGGGGCCCAAATTTGAGGGGATATTTTTATTTGTTTTGGGTACTTACAGCCTATTTTAAAAACAAATGGGTACGGGCTAGAAGGATCATTTCATTTTGCTGCTAACATTTAGTGCCTTTATGGGCCTACGTTTCTTTCCTGGCACGCTTGCGTGTTTGTTTGCAGGTTTTAGGCTGGGCTGTGCTGTCCGTAGTTACATCTATGCAAGTCTTTCTGGTACTCTAACCTATATAAAAGCTCATAGTAAATCAGAATGATCTTAGAATCCTTCGTGAAGCAGAATGATTCTTGTGTACAAACCTCATAGCTTTAGCTGCGGCAGTGTGAGCACCAAGCTCTTCGGTGAGTTCTGCAGTGACCTGAGAGCGCATACGTACGTACAATATAGAACAGAAGTCGCACACGTTGCTGCGAGGAGATCGGATTCGAATGAGGGGACAATGTTTCTGTAAAAGCTGTCGGAAAGTTGATGGTCGAGGTTCCCTCACCTCCAAGTCGTTCTCCACCACTTAGTTGTGCATCTCATTGTAGAGTTGGTCCCAGAGGAAGTAGGCAGGGAGCAGCGTATAGTTCTCGTCAGTATATTTCTTGCGGACCGCTCCGTCAGCCGTCTTCTGCGTTCGAAATCTAACCGGGACGACGTCTCCCAGAGTCTTGGCGAATATTCGAAACCAGCTCACCAACCAACGGATGTCTATCGTAGCGGCGTTAAAGTTAAGCTGGACCCGGTGTGTGTTGACGGAGAAAGCACCTCTTTTTATCTGTCGTCGGTAGCGCGTGATTGTTGCCGTGGAGATCCAATACACGGCGCACCATGAATCCCGACACACACGCCCTATTAGCGGTAAATAAAACGAGAAGACTTGCCGTTCACCACTACCACGACGACGTTGCGGTGTCTGTCTTCGTCAACATCGCCAGCGAGGTCAGGATGCTCTGCTTCTTTTCATGCGAAGTCATTTGCCCCAAAGAGCACAGAAAGTTTTCAAGATCAGCTGCCTTGCCTTGAAGACACTTCTCCGTGCAATGATCTTGCTGAATCAAACTCGTAACGTGCTCCCGAAGTTGGTCATCAGACCAAAAGATCCTACCCTCCACTGAGAAGTCCTCAACAGACTCTACGTCTGAATGATCCTGTAAGGCGTCCTCCAAGGCATCTTCAACGTCTTGAGCATTCGAAACGTCACTTGATTCGCCTGATATCGGCTCCCACACACTGTCATCTGATCCTTCACCGCCGGTTGCGTCCGGGTCAGGTAGAAGAGAGCCCAGTAGATTCCTGTCATAATGCCGAAGCGCAGTGTTTGTCCTGGTACTGGCGTCGCTGGCCACAGCCGAAGTGCTGGAAGAGTTTGTGCTGGTGTTCATCGTGCTCGTTCTAAAAGATACACCACCAAAAAATGGGTCCGTTTGGAAAAAAGCCTCTACTGAAAAATTCGTTTAATTACGTTTTTGAGTGGTCAATCTTTAAAGCCGTTTATCTCGATAACTCTAAATGGTTCGTAAGGATCAGCTCGTTTCGCGCCGTCTCAAATGTTTTTCTCTAAAAATTCTCAAAATGCTGTAATTGTTCTAAAAATAAAAGCTTAATATCTTTAGCTGCTAATTAAACTGACAGAAGATTGGCTCTATTATTAATAATACTTGCCATTGCCGAAGTCGACGTCTATTAATAAAAGTAATCAGCCGCACCTCGCTGTCTTGGCGGCCACCAAACCGTGGCCCCCCTGTTCGATTCGCTCGCGTTACAAAAAAGAATGTACTAAAAAAATGCGATGCTCGTTTTGCAGCTCAGGATGCTCAGCGCTAGACGGTGACCGTCCAGCGCCGGGTCCCGTGGACCCGCCTCCGCAATACCGCGCCGCGCCCTCAAAGCGGGGCGGCGGCCGCCCTGCTTTGAGGGCACGGGTGTGCTACGGCAACGGCTATGCTCGCTCGCACCCGCACCCCTTCCACTGAAACTAACTGGCTTAAGTATATCGTTACTTTTCCGAACAATTATTGAAGACCATTTTAGAGCACCTCATAATTTCTGTTGTAAAACATGTACCGGTTTGTTCCACAGTACGTGTTCCGGAAATGTATCAAACGCCTTGTTTTAACAGTTTTTTCAATACATGTACAGACTCCGCCCATAAACTGATATGCACATCCAGCTTATACCATCGCAAATACGGTCATACTACTTTCAGTCCTCGTATCCAGAACTTACGTAGTGCTAATGATTTGCAAGAATCCATAGCCTATGCTTACTTGATATCCTTAGGGCCTTAGAACTTCTAAGGCCCTAATAGAAGATCCATGTAACAAGCTCACGCAGCGATATCCAACTCTGACACACGACTGGCACCGCGGGTAAGATGGTGAGAAACAAATGAGGCGATACACGTTGTACAACTTGTACTGTATTACAACCTGAAGGTGTCCCTCGGCGGGCGGTACCTTCACCTTGTTTAAAGTTACAAGCGGTGAAATGCGTGTGAGGCTCACAGTGAGCAGCTCACCGGTATCGTTGTTCGCACGGCGCCTGATGTTTCATTTGCTTTATTTCAATAAAGCTTGTGGCTATTAGATCTCACCTATTCGCTCTTATTATAATAGGGTCGGCAAAATCGAGCTCGTCATCGTTAAAATAAGGGGAAATAATGAAACTCGAATCGTGAGACAAAAAAAAACTCAACAAGTGCTTCGAGACCTGTACATTTTCCATTCGAACCGTTGGTGTGAATAAGCACACCCTTTCCAGCTCTTTCGCAACCTTTTGATACACGCTCGACTCCAAGAGTGCGGATTATATCGGAGTACAAAAAGGATGATCTTCGAGTACATGCTCAAAAAGGATGGTTTGCGAGTACAAATGGGAAAAAGGGTGGATTGGCGAGTCCATGGCTCGAAAAGGATGAGTTGCGAGTTCCCGATTACACGGAGAACACTATTTATGGCTCACTAGGAAACGCTATTTACGGAAATGTGGTGTCCCAGTTGATGCCTGTCGCAACCAATGGCTGCCTGTGACTGCTGGTGGCTGGCTGTGGCTAGCGATGGTTGGCTGTGGCGACCGGTGGATGGTAGAGGCTGCCGGTGGTTGGTAGAGGCTTGTTGGGGCGAGTAGTGGGTTTCCTGTTGCTGCCTTGGTGTTCAGTTGTACTCTCAAAGTCGCCATGCCGGAGGCGTCCCAGGCCTCCGACGATGGGGCGGGTTCCCCGCTTCCAGCCGATGAGCCC